CTTCGCAATTAGGTTTGAATTTTCCCAATGGGTGCCGGTTAGAAGATGAATGACATATTTTCTTTTGTACTATTTCACCTATTTTGAATTGTCTAGAGAAGACCTTCCTTACGTAGGCTCGCTTGACCCGTCGGTGGTAACTTATCATAGTATTTCGGGCTCGAGCCGCCTTTCATCAAGGGTAATGATGGAGGCCAAGCGAGCCTCATACAGCTCTTTGTCGCTTGAAGCATGGTGAGCGAGTATCCTAAGAGAAGATGTTACTGCCTCCATGTCATATACAAGTGAGTATGGCGTCATTCATGTAGGCATCTTCTCATTTGTTCAATAGTGCAAGGACCCAGACTTTTCCGGAAGTAAGGGCACGGCGGAAGTAAGCTCGCGGCGGAAGTAAGAACGAGGTGGAAGTAAGCGCGCGGCGGAAATAAGCACGGGATGATAGTAGCACGCGGCAGTGAGAGCGCAATGCCACAAGTGAATAAGGGGCATCGTCGTGCGCGCAATGCCAACTGCACTGCCATACATGGTTAGTGTTCGCCACTTGTCTAGCTGCATGGGAGTTGGTTGCCACATGTCAGTTTGGGCTGCCACCTGCCTTGTGGGGGGATACTTGAGCCCTTCCTTCTCCCTCACGTCCTTCACTTTTCACTCCTCCACATCTCTCTCTCTCTCTCTCTAAGACACGTTTTGGGGAAAGTTCACTCCCTCACTTTGGAGCAGCCATTGTTGGAGTTGAAGGACTGTGGAAGGAAAGATTGGAGGGAACTTTTGTTGTTAAGGTAAGTGGATTACTACCCAGTTTGCATTAATTTGTATGAGCATGAAACTGATCGACGTGGCTTCTACTTCTGAAGTAACTTAATATGTTTTGCTTGTCAGAATTCTGTATTCTGTAAGAACATCTGACTATAACTATGATATGCATAACGGTTGATGCCATATTGAGAACAAGTAATGCCCTGTGTTAATTGAGTCTTACCCTTTTTATACAACAATTGTATGTACTCTGATATGTGACCTTACTCTGTGAGACAAATGCGATTTCTAATGAACTATGGGCATGCTCTTATGTATTTACTGATAGTCAGCAATGCAAGGCCAGTGATCTACTGACTGGGCTTATTGCTCAATCCGCTTATTTGATTTGTGTAAAGTGATAGTGCTTGACCAAGTGCAACGAGCAGCTGATCGGTGATAGCGGGCGTTCGGAGTTTAGACGGGTTCTCTCGCGCGGACCGCCGGCAAAGCCAGCTTTCCACATACCTAAGCCTTGGAGAATTCAAAAGAAATTTTGAAGTGTTTAATGAAAAGGGGGAGAATTTTATGACGAGCATTTAAAATCAAGAAAATCTAATAAATGCTCATAATGAACTAAAGAAAGCTTATAAATTCCAATAATGAAACCAAAAATAAAAAGGAAAATGCTACCTTAAATTTGGCCCCTAGGGCCGGTGCTCGAAGTTGATGTCGGTTCAGAGCTTGAATAAGGTAGGATTCCTAAGGTTTAGGATATGGAGTTCAGGTTCAATTTTAGGAGTTGGACAGGCTCAGATCTGGTCCTGCAGGGCTTACTCACACGTTGTAAAAATGTTTAGCTTTTGTCTTAAGGGGAACTTATTTATAGGCAAAACAATTCCATAATCACCATTGAGGGCTTTTTATGCGATCTGGGCCCTTCAAATTCTGGCGCCACTTGTAGTGATGCCAAATTAGCATTAAATGTGGTCATCATAATTATTTGCTCCAAAATCAAGTGATCCTGGCCCGGGTACACTTTTGTGGGTGGGGTGCCACAGGTTCAACGACATTGGCAATGTCGTTGTACCATTCAGAATTTCTCTCAAGCACAAAATATCATGTGTCACCTTCTGGGCATTGTCCATGCAACTGACCTACCAATCAAATTTCAACACCATTTCAACTGTCATTGGCACTATTTTCAATATCACTAGTATCAATCAACCGTTGCATGCCTCCATACAATCAACAGCTGATGTGACGTTTCGAGTGTGGCACGCCATGTGGTACTGACATCTGGCATGTCAGTTTATGTTAACACTGGTCAGTCTGTACTGATGCATGATAGAGGTCTACATCCAGCCTCTTTAACTATCAGAATCCTGAAGCCATTGTCAGTGGTGTTGGCACCACTAGCAACAATGCTGACATTTTCATCTTCTATTGGCCTCCATGTGTCCTCGTATCAGTCCGGTGTGTCTAGGAAGCTTCTCTCGTGTTGGCGTTCGAAGTGGCACTGGCGCTATTAACAATCGTGCTGTGACTCTCTGCTTCCGAACTACTTTCAGTTTGGTAGTCCTTTGTTTCGATCTTGCCTTGCTCCTCTTTAGGGGCATTCTTTAGTACTTCGAGCTATGTTGAGCGATCTTAGCTAAGAGGGAATGGTTTTAGGGTCTGGTTAAAAGGAATGTGTAATTGATTCATGTTCCCGGGTAGCTAGCCCAGGGTATTTTGGTCCCCCATGGTTTCCTCGATCGGGATCGGGGTGTCTACATTTTATGGAGATTCCAATCAGTAATCTTCTTCTCTCTAATTTCTACCACATGCTCCTTGCTTGTGGTAATATGCCTTGTCGCTCCCAAGTAAATCTGCCAACCATTAGATGGGGTGGGAGTAAGATACTCTTCTACCATTGATACAACATCCTTAGGATGACTAGATTCTCCTTTATCTGTCTTCTTTGATGGGGCCTTATATGTTTGGCTATGTACCAAGTTTGTTCCAATTTAAAAATATCTCGTAATTTTTTAAAAATTTTTCTTTTTTTCTCTCTTCCTTTTTTTTTATCTTCTTTGTTTTCTTGCCTCCTTACTCTTAATATTTTTACGTTTAGTCAGCCTTTTTTGAGTAGCCCAATAAGCTTTTTTTGAGTAGCCAAATAAGCTTATCATTAGGTTCTCATTGTGTTATTTATGGCCTTATCATTCTCTTCCATCCTAAGATGTCCTCCTAAATCATCAAGGTGTGGATGGTACCATTATGACACAAGTTTTTTTAAGGTCCTTCCATGTATTAAGGACATTTTCTATAATTTTTATAATTCGGTGGCACTCATATATGGTTTCTCCATAACGAACAAGTTGGTTTGCTATTACAATCGTGTCATCAAAAAATTCCAATACTAACTAGTTTTCTCTCATTATGTGTTGGTTATGTCTTTCAATAGCTCATGCTTTACCATGTGATTATCTTTGGGTGCCTTTTGTCTATAGCCTTTCATAAATCTTTAGCATTAGCATAAGTTCAAATATCTTATACATGTTACTAAGGCAATTCAATATTTTACCTTTAAATGTAAAATTTTCTTCTTCTTCTTTTTTCTTTTAATGTATCTTTGCCTTTTTTTTAAGTGTAGAATCAACATCACGTTCATGTGGGATTTCTTTTTTTATTAAATACAACAAATCCATAGCATGCATTAAATAAGATACTTTACTCTTTCAAAGTGCGAAATTATAACCATCAAACTCATCACCCTTCACTAAATAAGCTAATATAGGTCTAATAAGCTAATATAGGTCTAGGATTGGCTATCTTTAATAAATATTGAAAGCCCCAACGCTTTGACACCAAGTATTGGCCTGATTACAATAGCTCTTAGGGTTCTTAAAAGCAAATAGAGAGTTATATTAGCATATAAATTGCATTTTAGTAAAACTAGTAAATTCATTAAACAATTGGCATGCAAATTTTCATTTGATATAAAATATCGGTCACTATAGCTTGTTGTAAATTTCATTGACAGTCTAAAAATGATGCATCAAGGTCACTACTTTATCAAGAAAATTTCCAGCAAGCATATTACAATAAAAACTCCATATACATTATGTCAACCAAGTAAAAATGATACCATGTAGTTTTGTCCGTGCTCATGCAACCTTTTCCCCAACTTCAAGTACTATTTTAAATGAAAAACATGAGGAAATCCATAGAACAAACTACTTTAAGTGTAGGAAATCCATAGAACAAACTCATAGAGACTTGTAGGCCCTATTCTGTTTATATCCTAGAGAGAGAAACTGGTTGAGAAAGAGATTGCCATGAGTATACTGCTGCAAATAGAGAGAGAAACTGGTTGAGAAAGAGATTGCCATGAGTATACTGCTGCAAACAAATGTTAAGAAATAATATTAAGAGAGATAAAGATAGAGGTTTCACAGAGTTGAGAGGCATATCTTGTACCCAGCTCAGAAAGAAATATAAGAGAAAGAAAGAGGTTTTCGAGAGAAAGGGAAAGAACTCATGCAAGGTGCTTCAGCTTCTAGAAAACCATTCCAAAATACAGAGTTATTTTGAGAAGAGAAAGAAGACATTTGTAGAGAGAAAGCGGTTAAGTGTTACTTTTCAATTACCACTTATCCCTCATCTCATATTTTTAGAAATTGAAAAAAATAAAAATTTAAGCTTTTAGAATCCTAGCTTTGGGTTTGAAAAAGAAACCCTAGGTTTTTTCAACTTGAGGTTGTATTTGGTTTGCTTATTGAAGATTTTTAAGTTTATTCAAGTTCTCCTACATCAAAACCCCAAAACACCCAACAAAAGAAAATAAATAAAAAATGTTTTTTTTGAGCTTTTTTTTTTTTAATGTTTTCTTAGATATTTTCGTAAATCTTAATCCATAAACCCCCTCTTTCATTTTTTTTATTCTGTTAATATTTCTCTAGATCACCTATTATTATCGATCCGGATTAACAATTTGGCGATCCGACAAAAGATCAGTGCCGGACAATTGACCCAACCGATCCATTTTCTCAAATATTGATTAGTAGCATAGTAATTTCAGACAAGACGTCCATTCCAGATAAATCTAATTGTCATCTAAACAAATCCTAATACTTTACAGACCCAGGATGGGCCTACGGGTTACGTCGAGCTGGCCCAGCCCAGCCCACTTCCACCCCTGGTTGGCGTCTCCCCCATCTCCTGGTTGACCCCCACATGCTTTCTTATAATTTATTATTCCCTTTTGAAATTTACAGTGTCAGCGATAAATGAAAGTCTTAAAAAAATATTGTTTGATGTGAGAAATGGCTCTACAAGGAAGGATCCTCGTCATTATCCCGGTTTTCGCCGTGACGACCGGGTTCCGCCTGTCTCTCTGGCGGCGTAAACGTACCGTGGAGGTGTGGACTCTTCGGACCACCCCTCCTCAAAACCAGGTGCATTTCTCCCTTTTATGTCTTTAAATGCCTCCACATTCGGTTTTTTTTATTATTATTATTATCTCTTGTCAAGCGCTTAGTATTCGTGAATAACAATCCTGATTTGAATTTTCGGGGAAAACCTTCCTAATTCAATTGTAAAGCATATCAGATGATTTTCCTCAGTCTGAAATGAAATTCAACCTACCCCCACTTGGTTAATCTCTCACAATAAGTCTTAGCTGAATTCATCTCTCTCTCTGTGAGAATTGAGTTGATAATCCAGAGTTCAGTGTGGTTCTTAATCTTGGTTTGGATTCTTTCAGAGTAATAAGAAGAAAGAGGAGGAAGTGGAGAAAACAAAGGGTCTCTTGAATATTGCTCTCCCCAAATGCCGAATGTTCTTCTCTTCAGCATTGCTTTCCTCAAATCTTGAACTGTTCTCTCCCCCATTGATATTTGATCGATTGAAAGAAGGAGAAAAAAGAAAGTGAAAAGACAAAGACCATTTGGGTCATTTACCCATACATTCCTGAACTGGGTTTTCTCTTTTCATTGATATTCAATCAAAGAAAAGATTAGCTCGAAAACAAGGTAGAAAAGAAAGGTCGTTTGGCTTTTCTACGCAAGAAGATGGGTGACTGTTTCAGTAAAAAGAATTCAGAATCAGAAGCTGATGGCGCAGGAGGTGGGTACCAACCGGCTTCCAGGCAGCAGAACCAGCAGAAAGAACAACAACAGCCCCACAATACGCGTTCTGAAAGGCCTGGTCAGCAGCTCCCACCTTCTTCACAACCCAAGGCATCACCATTGCCCCATCCTGCTTCTTCTTACGAACAACCCAAGCCTGAACCAGGGGTTGACACCATCTTGGGCAAGCCTTTCTTGAATGTGAAATCCTTCTACACATTAGGTAAAGAATTGGGTAGAGGTCAATTTGGTGTTACCTATCTGTGCACAGAGAATTCTACTGGCTTGTCTTACGCCTGCAAATCCATATCCAAGAGGAAGCTTGTTCGTAAAAGTGATAGGGATGATGTAAAGAGGGAGATCCAGATCATGCAGCACTTGACTGGCCAAGCCAACATTGTTGAATTCAAGGGGGCTTATGAGGACAGGCTGTCTGTGCACCTTGTGATGGAGTTATGTGAGGGTGGAGAGCTCTTTGATAGGATAATTGCCAAGGGCCATTACTCTGAAAGGGCTGCTGCTTCGATTTGCAGAGCGATTGTTAATGTTGTGCACATATGCCACTTCATGGGTGTTATGCACCGGGATCTCAAACCTGAGAACTTCTTGCTAGCATCAAAGGATGAAAAGGCTCTACTAAAGGCGACAGACTTTGGGCTTTCAGTTTTCATTGAAGAAGGTAAGTTTTTTGTTTGAAATGTTTATTTGCGGATATTGTGTCTGTTGAAATCCTTCATATAGCAATGGTTAGGTACTGTCTTGTATACGTTTGCTTGCTAAGATTAAGGGAACCTGCTGAATGCTTGACAAATGGCAAATAACCTTTACAAAATCAATGGTCTTTCTTTTCAGGTATTTTTCTCTTTTTCTTTTCCTTTTTTTTTGAGACTAAGAAAACAAAGATTATGGTGTTGTGTTATTATCATTGCTAGGGATTAAAATTTCAGAAAAGATGCTTGTGCTTGTGCTTGTGTTAAATTTACCTCACGCATCGGCTAGTGTGCAATTGTGATCCTTACAGAGGATTTTGTAGGTGTTCTTGGCCAAATTGGATGCTTCTTGAATTTGGGATCCCTCTAGAATTTGACATGGGCTTGATATTGACATTTCTAACAAGCTAACCTTGCACAAATGCTCAAGAAAAAATGTATGTCTGATGCCAAGAGATCAGAGAGGTGTCCAAAAAGCATTTCGATGAATTTTCTTGTGAATTTCTGACATTTACTTTTTCTTCTTCTGTATTACTTTTAGAGGATGAAGGATCTTGAGATCATGGTGTGGTTGATGGTCAATCAGCAGGATCAAGCTGGTGTCCTTTATCCTTAGTGAATGACTGATACAGAACTTAACTACTTATTCAGTGTAATGAAAGCAACTCTGAAGCAGCGGATATGCATTTAGGTAGGTCTGGACTTCAGAAGCGGGAAGGTTGTCCTTTATAAACCCTAAATCTGATGTTCCCTTGGTGATATTTTTTTTTTTGGGGGGTTATGTGTTCTCTTGGTGATTTCATAATCTCTTATCCCATCTTCTTGGCTGTTTCTCTTGCTTATTTAGACGTTTCCTTGACATTTGTGTTAGCCTAGATCTGGATTGGTCTTACGGAAAGCATGGGTTATCGCATCAATATTATTTACATGGAGCAGTACTGAATCTCGCTGAGAAAGCTGAATACCTATATTTGAACTTAAGGGCTACTTTCCAAAAGATAACTTGTCTTCATAAGTATTGGTCTCATGCAACCCACATATTCGGGGTTTGCATGTAGAGAAACTACTCATCATCATTATCCGAGCCTTATTGGCTAAATAAAGAAACTACTAGACAAAAAAAAAAGAGAGAAGAAGAACCCACTTGAGCTTTGAATCACATGTGGCTCAACAACTTATCATCAATCTGCACTATGGAACCAGCAGCATTTTACATGGGGAATCCTAATATCTCTCACTGCAGATGGGTTCCTTGATTTTGGTCACCCATTTTATAGACCTAGATCATGAGTGTATGCCATAATTTGATGATGCTCTTAACAAGGGAATAATGTTCCTTGTGGTTTATCTTTGGAGTTTGTGGATACCTGACATTGAAACTTATAACCTAAACTATTTTTAAAGTGTTTGGAACCTCAAGGTTGACCTTTTAAGGATCCTCATCCTTTGTAAGGTAATGACCTTTTAGAGTCTCACCCCATATTGGAAGTTCATGTAAAACTCTCAAAACAATTCATCGCTTCCCCAAACGGCTTGAAGTCTTGTAATTGCAATTTTAAAGATCTTGGGGAAGATGGTTAAAAAATAATCCAACCTCTTGGCCTCATCATCTTCACAGTGTTTCACACTTGTATGCTCTACAGGAAGAAGACATCTGGAGCATCCCAATAAACATCGCTCACTTAATCTTGCTACCTTTAGACAAGTTGGTCCCCTTGAGAAATTAAAACATGCCATTTAGATCCCTATGCTCATTTCATGATGTGTGCTCTTCGACTTGTTATATTCAGGCATGAGGCATCTGTATATGTTTTGTGGTTTGTGGCTTAACCATGATGAGAGACATGCCTGTAAGGCCATCTCCCAGGTTTCAATCATGATGGGGTTCAGATAAAATTCTCCTCCCCAAAGCTGCTTGTCCATGAAGTTGTTAACTGAGCCGCTCAAATACAACTACTGATATTGACAAAATTATTGATATGAGTATTCGATTTGAAACACACATATAGTTATCACTCATATAACTTACATGCAGGATTCAAGTATATAATCAGATTTTTGAATTCTCACTACTTGGTCATAACTCCATTGCACATTGGTGCATGTTTAGAGTTTATGGCAACAGGTGGTCGGGTCTGGGCGATGAGTGACTGGACCTGAACGAGAATCTAGTTTCTTCAGTGGGAAAGATGAACTCCATGTTCTCAAACAAAAGTAGTTGAATTTGTGACAAATTTGGGAAAGAATTATGGCTTGGTTGATAGTAGTGAGTTAAAATATGCCGAAGAATATGATGGTGCCTTTGGGTTGGGCAGTTGGTACACAGGAGGCAGAGAGCATCAGTTGTGCCACCATGGCTGGGGCCTGGGAATTGGTTTGTGAGATAGCTTTCACTCTGAACCGAGCTTGTGTATTATAAATGAAAGGAACAAGATGTTCTTCTTTTTACTGTATAGCTTTGGAACTAAGACTAAAATCCTAAGAGTGGTTCATGCTCCATGAACAATTTGGCACTCTTTCTTAATAATGATATTGGTTGTTTCCTATCATCTAACTGTTATTTAATGTGGGCATGACTTGTGATAGAGTATATTAATGTGGGCATGACTTGTGATACAGTATTTTGAAGTATCAATAACTTATGCATTCTACCATACACGATTTTCAAATGAGTGGTTTCCATATATTTCATGGCAGGAAAATATTCTGATAATCATGTAGTGCTTGAAATGACAAATGCTAAACATATTGACAAGGTTTGCGTTTGTGCTTATTGCAGGAAAGGTATATAGAGACATCGTGGGTAGTGCTTACTATGTTGCTCCTGAGGTCCTACATCGCAACTATGGAAAGGAAATTGATATTTGGAGTGCTGGTGTTATTTTATATATCCTTATCAGTGGTGTACCTCCTTTCTGGGCTGGTAAGTATGACCGACTGCTACTTCTTTTCTTGAAAAAGCAACGATCGATTTTGGTTGCTTAGTTTAAATTATCTTTTTTGTTGCTGAGATTTTTCTCTCCTGTAAATTACAACACTCAACAGAAACAGAGAAGGGTATATTTGATGCCATCTTGCAAGGAGACATTGACTTTGAGAGTGCTCCATGGCCGTCCATATCCAACAGGGCAAAAGATCTTATTAGGAAGATGTTGACTCAAGATCCAAAAAAGCGGATTACCTCTGCACAGGTTCTTGGTGAGTGCTTCTCTCTTAGTTAAAATTTTTTCAAATGGAAAGTTGATTAAGATTAGTCTCTAGAACTGACTCTATAATTTTGTTGGTTGTGACTGATAATAAAGAGCACCCATGGCTCAGAGATGGGGAAGCATCTGACAAGCCCATTGACAGTGCTGTCCTATCTAGAATGAAGCAGTTCAGAGCAATGAACAAGCTCAAGAAACTCGCTTTAAAGGTGGGTTGCATTGTTTCATTATTTGCCTCTCTCTCTCTCTCTCTCTCTCTCTCTCTCTCTATGTGTGTGTGGCACAACGTGTGGCCACACCTTACACATTCACACACACATATAAGGGAGAATAGTATTTCCCATAACTCTTATTTTTGCCTCCAAATTTCCTAAAATCTCTCCATCTCTCTCTCTCTCTAAACTCTCATCTATAAAGTTTATTTTACCTAAAACTCTCTTTGGTTTGTTATCTAAATCCAATGAGAAAGCTACACAAATTAACGTATCAATTTCTCCTTAAGAACCTATTTTATCCCAATCCTGAGTTACAGAAATGCTTTTTCATGGAGAAGAAATAGGAGCTAGGAAAAAAAGAAAACAACCCTTTGAAAAATTTAGTTAGGGCTTTTGTATGCCACAAAATATCATAAAAACATAGCAATTTCTATAATAGTATCTAACTTAACTAAATAAAAGAAAACTCAAGAAAAAAGCTTAAGCTTGGACAATAAATTAAACAACTATAATAATGACACTAATGACTTAATGAAATGAAAAAAAATATTTTTTGGTAAATTAAATATTTTAACAAATAATTCTCATCTAACCTCTCAGCAAGAGCATTATGTAATGCATGGTCCATTTGCTAATGTGTGTGTATGCACACATGACAATGCTAGTAGCTAATGGCTTCAATGAATCTTTACTATTTGATATTTATCTTATTCTGTTATATTTACTACTTTATTTATTCTTTCACTGGCTGACCAAGTTGTTCAACAAGGTGTTGAAAACAAACAAAATGTCAGATGAATGGAGAAAAATTATGTGGTACCTATTTACAAGAACAAATGAAACATACAAAATTGTGTGAACTATGGAGGGATCAAACTTATGAGCTACACTATAAAGTTGTGGGAGAGAGTGATTGAGCAACGACTAATGCATGAAACAAGTATATCAGAAAACGAATTAGGCTTTATGCTATGGAGGTCAACAATTGAGACTATTGTACTACTTAGGCAACTAATTGAGAAGTTTAAGGTGGAGAGAAAAGACCTCCACATGATCTTTATTGATCTAGAGAAGGCTTATGATAGAGTACCTTGAGATTTAATTTAGTCGGTGTTGAAAAAAAAAGATTTTTTAGATATTATATTGACTTGGCGGGAGATATGTACAAGGGAGTGTTAACTAGTGTACGAACAACAAGAGGAGAGATGAGGTTTTAGTGGCAATAGATCTACGTCAGGGATCAACGTTGAGTCCATACCTTTTTGTCTTAGTTATGGATGACTAAACTAGGCACATACAAGATGAGGTACCACAAGTGTATGTTGTTCGTGGACGACATAGTTTTGATCGAAGAGACCCAAAGCGGCGTCAACATAAAGTTTAAACTTTGGAGGGTTGCTCTAGAATCTAAAGGTTTTAAAATTAGTCGGACTACGACAGAGTATAGGAAATACAAATTTATTAATAATAGGAGTAGAGACGATGAAGTAGTTAAGATTGACGGCCAATGAATATAAAAAAGAGCCACTTCTGATACCTTAGGTCAATAATTAAGAAAAATGGAGGGATTGAGGAAGATATCGCATATAGAATTAGAGTTAGGTAGGTGAGTTGGAGATGTACAACCAGAGTTTTATGTGATCATCGCATATCAATGAAGTTGAAGGGAAAGTTCTATAAAACAGCTTTGAGACCAGCTTTGCTTTATGGGATGGAATGTTTGGCAGTCAAGAAACAACATACCCATAAGATGAGTTTAGCAGAGATGAGGATGGTAAGATGGATGGGAGGCAAAACTAAAAGGGATAAAATTCGAAATAAATACATTCGTGAACTTACGTGTGGCTCTAGTAGGTGATAAGATGAGAGAAAGTATACTCAGGTGGGCTGGTCCTGTGCAGCGCAGACCCATTGCAACATTGTTAGGAGGTGGGAGTTGGTTCAAGTGAGGCTAAAAAGTGGCTCGGGGTAGGCCCTAAAGGACATGATTGGAAGTAATGAGAAAAGATATGGCGACTTATGGTCTCACTGAGGGCGTAGCCCTCGAGCAGAATGGCGGACCATGATTCATATAGCCGACCCGAAATAGTTTGGAAAAACCTCTAATGATGATGATGATGATTTATTTTTGGAAAAAGTTTATATAAGGTTGCAACCTTAAAATGTAGAATTAAAGATGCACCTCAAAAATTCATCGAAAAAGGTTGCTTTATTATTGAAAAACCCTCAAATTGATCATCTCGACATCGAGATGTATGAATATGAAAAAAAAAAGATTTTGAGACTTAGAAATAGTGCATATTGCAGCACATTGTCTAGACTGTCCATTTTCAAGATTTTCATATGCTTATAGATCTACTTGATTTTAACTATTTTTGGAGTTTAAAATTTTATAATTAGATATGACAATAGATTTTTAGATAATCCTAATAATTTTTTACTCCAAAATTACATGTTATGATAAAATTTGGAGGTGTGCTTTAATTGGATTGTTTAAGGTTGCAACCATATAGAAACCACACCCTTTATTTTTTCACTAATTTATGCTACGATAAAATTTTTGGATTGTTCAACTATTCATATGAAAATTTCCCATCTATAACATCTAATAATAGATTTGAAATTTTAGGAATGTACTTTCCCTTCACTTATAAGAGAGAATCTAGGAATTAGTTTGGAATTAGAGACAGACAGAGATTTATGCAATGTGCTTAATGATTGAGATTGGAAATGGAATGAGGAGAGAGCTAAACTTGAAGTTGGAATTCAAACTTGTTCATTATTCTCGTCGAGATTAATTCAAAACTCACACCCCTCTATATTCATACTTAGAATGAGCATTATTGGTCATTGTAGAGAAACCTTAATAATCAAACTAAGGCACACTTCTAAATCCAACTGGAAGATTTTGGACCCTAAAAACCCAACTATAGCCTAAATATCTAGTTACACCCCTATCCATGAAATTTGTAGCTCCAAAAATAGCGGAGGACTCGTTCTATGAAAATCTTGAAAATAGACGGTTTATATAATATATTACATGATGAATTATTTTTAGTGCTTGAAATCCTTTTCTCTTTTTTTTGCCATATTCATGCATTTTGAGGTCAATCAATTTGAAGATTTTCCTGATTTGGAACAACCTTATTCCAGTGGGTTTTCCTGGTGCATCT